AACATATTGCCCGTATGGGCGGGGTGCTGTCAGTCAACAGTGCCGTATTTTTGATCCGCGAGTCATTTTTGTATATCGTAACTATGATCCTCCCCGCCGCGTTTTCCCATCTGCGTTCAGCGCGGAAACAAAGTCGAAAGATTTGATCGCTTCGCTACCTACTTCGCTGATTAGGCGCGTTATAATATTATAATATATGATATATCTATTTTTGATTTTTCAATATTTTATTTGTTCTGATAACTTCGCTGCCTTGATTAGGCGCGAAATTATAACATATGATATTTATTTCTGATTTTTCTATATTTTATTTATTCCGATTATTTTGCTACCTTGATTAGGCGCGAAATTATAACATATGATATTTATTTGTGATTTTTCTATATTTTATTCATTCCGATTACTTCGCTGCCTTGATTAGGCGCGGAATTATAATATATGATATCTATTTATGATTTTTTAATATTTTATTTCTTCTGATTACTTTAGTAATTTATATAATGCAGTGATAGAATACATTGATTGATATAAGGAAAACATAATTACGTACTACATTGATGCATTTCTGCAAACATTTAAATCATTAATATTTGTTTAGAATCTTTGTTAAAATTTGTACACATGTATAAAAAAAAGAATTTTAATGTTAAACATTTTGGATGGAAATAGCATGCAATTTTGATAATGGAAAACTAATTGCCGCAGACAAGAGATCTTCTGACTTTTTCATTAATATTCCGAAAATTAGCAATACGACAGTAATAGTCGTAAATCGAATACAATGAGCTTATAGTCGATAAAGTTTATAGACGCACCGCGATCATTATTTCAACTGTGCAACTTTTATCATTCTAGCGAGTGATAGCGCGATGAGGAGCCGGTTGTATGTAGACGCAGTTATTTTTATTGTAGGCTTAGACCGCCACACATACGCACATTATTCCTGCCGGTCGCATTCGTGCATGCACGGAGCACGCGTGTGTGGTCAATCCCGACCTGGCTGTGTATGCAGGACTGCGGTGGCAGGTGACGGCGTGTTGTGAGCTGCATAATGAATAATGCGAAAGCCGAACCACAAGCCGTTCCTGTCCTTCCACTTGGCTGACTGAATGACAGCCAGTCTAGGAAAAACCACTGATTGGCTGTACATACCCCCGGCTCTCTCGTGCTTGTCACATCCTGTGTGTGTCTACCTGCGATCGAAATCAAGCTGCACGACGGGACTTGATTTTCGTATTTCTGGGACACGCTATCGGCGAATCCACGATGGATTTCGCGGAGCGTCGCCGGCGCTTCTGTAAGGAGAGACGGTCGCGAATATCGAAAATAACACTCCGTGTCTGGGACACTAAAATTTATTAAATTTATTATCGCGGTAGAAGAGAAGAGGGAGGGATTAAGCGCCGTTTTATTATAGCATAATGAGAGACTCGTGAAACGGTTTGTTTTTGTTGAAGAACTGCAAATAGCACATTAGATAAAATAAGAGAATGTATCAACTGTGTCAAAACTAAAATCTGAATTATAAAATAGCGCTTGATTTTTTTTTCTTGTTTTGTTGCAGTGAATCTAATAAATTTTACTCAGATTTTTCATACTTAATATTTTTGCTATTATCTCTCCTTACAAAGCATTGTAATCCATAATAAAGTGTACGCCATAATAAATTTGGTATGTCAAAAATATTAAAGTCAAGTCTTGTCGCGTAGCTTGATTTCGATTGCAGAGGAACACAAATAGGATATGACACATGTTTTTTTATTCCCTCTTTTTTTAATAAAGCTTTGTTTTCGCAGAAAATGCATCTGAAAATTGAAAAATTAGTAATATTTTTTTTGTATTTTTTAAAATAATATAATATATGATTTTCATAGAACAACAATCAAAATGATTGAAACATTTATTGCAAAATATCGATAGTATTATATCCAT